GGAAAAAAATTAAGATTTAGAAACAAAGTAATGTAACCAATATGAAAGAGAAATGAAAGTTACCTAATTCAACTTTTACCCAGTTTCATGCTATTCTTTATGTGCTTAATCAGCCAAGAAATATTTCCTCCAATTCTTCTAAGTTTCCACAAAGTTAGAAAGTATCCAGGCCTTCCTAATCATACTGATACACCATTCATCACCTGTCAGCTGCTGTTTGCATTTTCACAAGTAATCTAGTAGAGACCTGTTTTGCAACAAAATAGCTCCCACTACATCACCACAACAAAACCCCTCCCAACACAGTTTGATACAAAACTTCAGGTCATTGTTCAGATAGAAGAACCAGATTTGAGCCAGAAAGCCAACTAAGTATCTAGACACTTCCTTTCCATCCAGTTCATATATTTTGCTATGTCTTAATGCAGCAATACAGCACCGTCCAAAATATCACAAAATTCTAGTTAAGAATAACTTCTCAAGCTCCATATTCTTTGGCCTATTCTTGCTCTCTGTTTTGGGTTCCATTTAATAAGCTGATCAGTAATGTGCTGGTCATCATTTCTATTTATAAATGATAAACTGAAATCAATAAGAGATAACCTAATAAAATTTAAAACAAATAATCACAACATCAAAAAAACTCCTCCCTCTGTCAAACAACCACAGTCCAGGAGTTTGACTTCAAAGTTTTCTTATCCTGGGCAGCATTACTCAGCAACAGACAAATATTTACCTATTAAGAGATTTCTCTTTAGATGCTCAGGGGTATACTAGGCAGTCACCTTTTAAAGACTTACTGATTTGCCTACAGTTCTAAAGTTTTTAATAGGGCAGTAAGAGGTCAAAGAGTTAAGCCTCATGCAGATGCACCATATTTCTCAAGGCCTTGAGTTATCCAGTTTCAAAACACTAGCACCAGGAAGGACCCAGGAGGTACTGGGACTCACCATAGCATTTCACAGACTGAAGTAGGTGAAAGCACTTTAAAATCTCAGTACTTTTAACTCCAACTTTTTAGGTCCCCAATGGATCTTTCCTGATTCTTTCACCCATGCCCCACCCCACCAAACTGTTACTCTAGTGATTCCCTCCTTTGCCCATTGTCTGTGTCCCTCCCATTCTCCTTTTAGACTTTTTAATCCACCTCTTACTAGTTATCCTTCTATTCTTTAAAAAATAATGGTCAAATGTCATATTTGTCCTTATGAGATTGAGTTAGTTCACTTAAAGTAATGCTCTCTGGGGATAAATGATGTAAACTGCATTGAAACAAATGAGGGAGAGAACTGTTTAAAGGAATATATGATTAGATATTATTTGCATGACCAAAGTCCAGATTAAGAGCTGCATAGTAAAATGGTCTGGGGAGGGGGAACTTTATAATGATGAAAGAAAGAACTTTTTTCTTTGTTCAAAGAGAAAAGTGAACTGGGGGGAGGGGTGGGCAGGGAGGAAAATGTGCAACAATGAATGAATGGGGAAAAAAGAAAATAATAATAATAATTTTAAAATGTTCTCTAAGCTCTCCCATGTTAGATAGAATTTTAGAAAACCATTGCTTCTTAGTGCTGCTTAGTATTCCATTGTGTTAATGTACCTTGTACATAGATCAATGGTGATTAATTTTATAAAACACAATGAATGTGAGTGATCTTTTGAAAAACAATGTGAATGGAGAAATGTGAAACACAATGTACATGAATGACACAGGTATATGAATTTGGTATGGAAATCAATATAAAATAAAGAGAAGGGAAAAAACATCAAAAAAATTTTTAAACCCCCACAGAGTTACATAAAAGTCTCATTTCCGTCTATGAAAATGCAATGCTAACTCAAACACATATGGTTCAAATCCACCAGCTGCTCTACAGAAGATGGGCAATCTCCTTCTGTGCAATGTACTGTCTCTGAAAATACACTTATGGTCAACCGCGAGTCAATCCCAACTTTACAGTACCAAAAAACAATGCTGTTGTTAGGTGCCTTCGAGATGATTACAACTCTATGAACAGACCTGAGCCCTGCCCTATGCTGTGTAATCGTCATCATCTCTGACACACTTGAGTCCACTGCTGCAGTCAAATTCACCAGCAGCTTTGAGGGAGAAAGATGGACAATCTCCCAATCCTAAAGCACAAGTTTCAAATCCACCAGCTGATCCACAGGAGAAAGATGGCCAATCAACTCCCAAGTGACTTACTGTTTCAGGAAACCCACTGGAGGGGGAGTTAGTTCCAAATCAAAGGCACTTAATAATAATGGGAATGTACCCTGGGACCCAGTTTTCCTTCCTCCTAGGGCCTAGAACTCTGAGCTCCTGGCCTCCAATCTCATATCCTGAGCCTGCTAATTGAGTATTCTATTTTAAATTGTTTTGAGTTATTTCCACAAAGTCACATCAAGAATTTATTCATGTATATATGGCATGTGACAATATCTCTGAAGTAAACTGTTAGGAATCGTACCCCTGCCTGGGTATGTTGAAACTCTAAACTCTGTTACCTGGGGTAACATTACTATGTTTGACAATGATCTTAGGAGATGTTATCGGTCAATATAAGGTCCTACCAGAGCAGAGTGGGTCTTACTCCATCTTTTGTTGTTTGATGCCATCAAGTTGGCTCCATCTCGTGACTCTGTACAAGATTGAATGAAACCCAATCCTGCATCAGTCTGACAATCCCTGCTGTTTCCGCCCATTGTTACTGTCACTGTGCAAGTCCATCTGAGTGGCGTTTCATAAATGAAAATAGACTCACAGACATACAGAGATGTTTAAGACTAACAAATATTGTCAGAAGCAAGGAGAGGAATGAAACAGCTGCTCTTTCAAAAATCAATCTGACTGAAAACTTGATTTGGGCATTTTTGCCTCAAGAACTACGGCCAACACATGTATTTATCTAACAACATCTGTGGTGTTTGGTTATAGTTGCCCTAGGAAACAAATTCACAGTTCTAGCAAAATTAGGAATACAACCCAAGGACATAGCTCTTCGTCAAAATTGTACTTTCTTCTGGTATTACCTCTTTCTGACCTCATTCACAATTTCACTTTCTAACCAACTCATTAACCTAAACTTGAGGGCAATGGTGGCTGAAATCTTGGCCCCATCCCATCCCATGTGATATGTTGAGACCTATACTCCTGACCAATACTCCCCAGTGCAGCCACCACTGTCAGGGGGCCTACACGGTGGAAACCTGCAGGGTGCTATGATGATGAACTTCCAGACTAAGACAGACTAGAAAGCTGGGCAATCTACTTCCAAAACTCAGCCAATGAAAACCCTACTGATGTCAACAACAATCACTTCCCAGCTTACATGACATGTTGCCATGAATCAGGAGCTTGATGGACACCAGCTCACAGCACAAACTGAACTCAACCTCCAGCTCAAATGGACCGATTTACTACTCTAAAGATGCAAGGGTTTTCATGCACTACTAACTTCAAATACTTTGGAAAAGGAGAGAAAACCAAATCTGCAGTTGTCTACTTGCAGTTGTCTGGAGGAGCCCTCTTCAGTGTGCCCATCAAAGAATCAAGATGTAATGATGAAAATGGATTTAGTACTTATGATGATTTATAATGTATTTGGCACCTCAACAAAATAATTTTGCTGGAAAAATACTATCGATCTTACTTTGTTGAAGAAAGATCACAAACCCTCCTTTCAGAACAGACCATCTACTATTATATTTCTTGGTACTGTTAGGTGCAGTTGATTAGAACTCTTTGTGAGCCTGTAAACAACAGATAAGAACCTTGTTCTATCCTGTGCCATCCTCACATTTTGACACACTCAAGCCATTGCTGCAATCACTGTGTCAACCTACCTGGCTGAGGGTCTTCCTCTCCTTTGCTGCGCCTCCACCTTCCCAAACGTAATACCCCTCTCCAAGAAATTACCTCTCCAAACTGAGAAGCAATGATGTCAGTTTGAAGACTAAGGTGTGTGAGATTCAGGCCATGGACTATTGTATAGAATTATGTAAACTAGATTATAGTCTCGGCCATTAATTTCAAAGCTTTTTTGTTTCACAACTGGAAACTTCTAATGGAGATTTCTATTTGAGTTCACAGCAGCAGGGATTCAGTATCTTTTCCTAAAATTGGTGGGGTTGGGAGGGAGTACAGAGCCAGATGTATCAAAAAATAAAGGAGGGAAAAGGATATTCAGATTTTTCCCCCCTTGGTATGATTGATATACTTTGCAAAGACATTAGTATCTATTCCAAGTGGTCTGTTGTGCAGCTGTCCTAACAACGGTTCTTTTACCCATCATCGGCATTACCTGTCCCTTGTCTGACCTTACTTACATTCACGTCAATTTTTCTCCCTTGCATTGAAGTGCCACGTGCTTTAAAAACCAACTGCTAGCACCCCGTCTGGTGTTCAGGATCCTGCAAGGAACAGGCTCACCCAGACCAGCTTGCCTCGCGATCCAGCAGAGCAAAAGGGGGTGTGTCCGCGCCACCAAGGCCTCTTTTACACTGCCCGCAGCAACGCCCTTGGATCCCCCCTTTCCCGAGGGTGGTCTGGGACTGGGCTTCTACAGCGACTCGATCTCCTGTTTTTGAGGTTGCACCGCACTTTTCCAGGAATCGTTCCTTCCTCCAGCTCTTCCCACCAAGATGATGGGGTGACAAGACACGAGGGACTCCCCACAACGCTCCCACTCGTTAAGACTCGGCAACAGCCCCCTCCCTGCACCCAGGGCTGCCTGGTGTCCAAGACTGGAGGCCAGGGGTGTCTGCACTACCAGCGACCCTCTTCTCTTTTACGCACAGACGAGGGGCCCCCACAAGGGAAGCCACAGGAAGTAGGGGGCAGTAAGCGAGGCAGGGGGGCCACGTGGGGCGACGTGGGAAGGGTCATCCCCGGGGGAAGTGCAAGAGGTGGAGGGCTGCGGCCGCCCCGAAAGGCGCCGCCAAGCCAGGGAAGGGGGCCAGGACGCCCCGGTAAGGAGCCCCCGGCCGCGGGGACTCACCAGCTGCTTGAGGTCCTCCTCCGAGAGCTCGGCGTAGCGGTACCGCTGCTGTTCGAATTCGTACCGGGTGGTTTTGGCCACCACGACCACCCGGGACGGGCGGAAGCCGCCGTCCGCGCGGCTGCCACAGCCCGCCAGCTCGCGCGGCGGTCCCTGCCCAAAGTGCCGCGGCCGCGCGGCGGGGCCTCCTGCGCCCGGCCCCCTCAGCGTCGCGGCCCGGCTGCCCGCCACACGCCGACAGCTGCCCAGCAGGAAGCCTCGGTAGCAAGTCATCATCGGCCCCGCCGGGGCTTGCAGGCAGCGGCTCGCGCCTCCACGGCCCTCCCGCCCGACTGCACGCCGCGGGCGACACACCAGCCTCTAACTTAGCGCCGGGCGGGCATAGGTTAAGTGCAGGGCGGTGCGCGCCCGCGGCCGCGAGGAGGACGTGCCCAGACACTGCCGGGGCGGGGAAAGAGAGGAGAGTGCGGAGGGAAAAGTGGGCGGGACGGAGTTAGAGGCCTCCGACTGGTGGGCTCTGTTTGTTTGTTTATGCGATTTCATCCACGCCTGCGCAGTCGTTCCTTCGCCGCCTGTGGGCCAACCTCCCTCTCCACCTCCTTTCCTGCATCTGCTCTTCGCCCGCCCTGGGTTATGCTATCAGCCAATCAGAGATCGCTGCTGGTTCGGGGCCCCTATGAGCAGTGGGGATTGGCTGAAGCCAGAAAAGGCTGGAATTCTATTTAGTGTTTGAGGGGCTGGAAGAATCCAACTGGAACTGGTGTGCCACGCATAGGGGTTGTGGGTGGGTTTTGAGCGTCAGGCGGGAAAGGACACCCTGTTGCTAGATTTCTCTGTTACTGTTCTTTTTCGTTGTTGCTAGATCTTCAGGATAGATCTCATGCCCTTTGTGCGTTCATGTAATCATTGCGGGTTGGATGGCTGATGTGCCCTAGGTTCACCCACAAATTATGTGGGGGTTGTAATGCACAATGAGGGAACGGCAAATGCAAGTCCCGTTGCTAACCCACAATCTGCTAATCTCCGTGAGTTTTACCAGCCGCTCCTCGAAAGATAGGCAAGCTCCTCCCTTTGACATTGACTACTTCTGAAAATCAATGGGACAGATTCCCAAGTTTGAGTGCAAAATGAAGATACAGACCCCCTTATTCAGAAATTAACGAGAATGTCTGTCAAAACGGATACAGAGCATGAAACCAAACCTTTCTAAGGACTGGCCTTTTTTTTTCTGAGGGGACAGGATGCAGCCACACCTCCCCCAGGCCTGACCCTAATAGAGAGCCACAGCCCCAGGGAGAAAAGGGTAGCCTTTGCGTTTGCGGAGCGCAGAGGAGACTAAGGAGAGGAGCCTGGCCAAATGTATCCTTTCTAGAAGGGCAAGTAGGGTTGAATAATAGGTAGGACGAGCGGACAGGCTTACAAATGCAGTAAATTGTACCTTTATGCTATAGGCAATTGGCCTTTTGTAGATTTTTCTTGCTGGGAAATACTGAGTGTTTTAATGACTAGTATCTGTCTTTGGGGATTGGGAGGGAGGAGCCTGGTGGAGGAGTTAGGATACGGATCAGGGTCAGGGTAATGAGAATAGAAGAAAAATTTACTGTTCTTGAGGACAGTCGCCTGGCAGGTTTCGTCCTAGTGCCTATGCCCCGCTCCCCAGGTCGGCTTGCTTTGACAACCCTTTTTGCTCCCTTGTAGTCCTGGCTGTTCTAGTAACTAGCTTTTGTACTTATGCAGGTTATTTCACTTTTCTGGGCCTTAGTCTTCTTATCTATAAAAGCAGGGAGTGGAATTAGAGTGATTCTGAGGATCTGTCAAGGTCACCAAAATCCATGGGTTCACGCAGTATTCAATCACTGACTGATATGTACCAGGCAATCTACTGAACTAGGAAAATGCTCAATAGAGGAGTAGCTAGTGTTAGAAGGTCATTGATTTTTTTTTTCTTAATATCCAGGAACTTTGCATTACAATAGCTGCTAAATTTAGGGGACTGTAACCTTCAACACAGCTCTTCATTTTAAAGGGATGTGTGTTACTCATCTATAACTAGAACCTCTTCAAGGTCCATTCTAACCTTCTGTTACAAATGACAGGTTTGAAGCCCAACTACATAGGAAGATGTACATTGTTCCATTTAACAAAGGAAAGGAAATGGAGAGAAGAATGAGTCTGGGGTCAAAGTCTCTGAGTTATATGTTATAAACAACATTTTCGACATTTCTTCTCCCACTTCAACCTAGTAAGTTGGCTTTCGTCCTATTTTTAGCTACATACATATCTACAGTGACATCTCATTAGAACATTATGTTTATTAGGACAATATTTTAAATCCCATCTTCCACTTTTTCAAAATACTGCTTCATCAGTTTATTTTCTTTTATATACTTTTCCTATCTCCTCCAGACTGGATTTCTCTCTTCAATATTTAAATGGATTCATGTCTATTACATCTTAAAAAGAGTAGTAGGGGAAATATGAAACTGCATGTCCCACTGTGAGGGTGGCACAGATGGTATAGTGTTTAGTTGCACAAAGGGTCACTAATAGTGTACATTTGATTTGGTACCAACTCAATGGCATCTAACAACAGTAATAATGTTCCACTATAGTTTATATATGTTGTTTTTATATGCTATTGAGTCAGCATCAACAACTCATAGCTGACCCTTCAGTAGTTTCCTGAGACAGTAAATCCCCTGGATGAGGTTGGCCAGCTTTCTCCTGTGGAACTCCCAGTGCCTTCAAGCTTGGCAGCACAACTCCTTCCTCCTAAGTCACCTAAGCTCCCTATTTTGTGTAGACATATATTACTCACATACTCATTGCCACTGAGTTGGAGCTGACTCACAGCTGGATCCCCCAGCAGGGGTTCTGAGGCTGTAAATCACACAGAAGGAGATAGTGCAACTTTCTCTCATGGATCTGCTGGTGGACTGAGGCCTTTGGGTTGGCAGAGCGATTTCCTAACCCCCCAGGTCATTTCAGATAGATAGATAGACAAACAGACAGAAAGAGTACACGCTGTGTACGTGTATATGTACATGTTGTTGCTGTTATGTGTCATTAAGTCAACTATGACTCATAGCAACCCCTGTGCACAATGACTCTGAACTCTGCTCTATCCTGAGCCAATCTCACTGTCTCTGACACACCTACCACCACTACCCCAGTTACTGTGTCATTACATCTCATCCGGGCCTTCCTCTTCTGGGCTGTCCCTTCACCCTTCAAAGAATGATATCCTTCTCCAAGGATTGGTCCATCCTGGCAACATGCCTAAAGTATATAAAACTGAGTCTCAAAATTTTTGCCTCCAAGACATATCTATTAATTCTATTGGCAGCCCATAATATATTCAGTACTCTTCCCCAGCACTACAACTCAAAGACATTAAGTCTTCCTTTGTCATCTTTAGTCATTGTCCAGCTCTCTGATGCATAGCAACTAATTGTGAAGACCATAGCCTGGATCAAGTGCACCTTAGTCTCTAGACTGACACTGTTGCTCTTCAGCACTCTGGAGAGGTTCCCTAACAGCAGATTTTCCTAATGCAATTTGCCTTTTGATTTTCCTGACTACTGGTGCCAAGAATGTTGATTGTGGAGCTGAGCAAGCTGAAATTGTTAACAATCTCAGTCTCCTCTCCATCTATCACTGTGCTTCCAATTGGTGCAATGGTGAGAATCTTCCTTTTCTTGATGTTAAGCTTCAATCCATGCTGCAGACTACAGTCCTTGGCCCTCTGCAGTAAATCCATTAAATCATACACACACACACACACACACACACACACACACACACACACGTATTCTACACACACAAGTATTTACACACACACACAAGTATTCTGCTATTCTGCTCCTGGCCACGTCTTTGCCTTTTATTCAGTCTTCATCCATTTGCAATCTAGATTTTCCCCATCATTTCACTAATTACTATTTGTATGTTACTGTTAATATGATGTAAACCTAGAGACATTTTGAGTCCTTTAAATGATATCTTGCACCATTTGACAAGTATACATATTCCTTAAATCTTGTACTTTAGCTCCCAGCATGCCAATTCTCTACTGCTGTTTTCTCAATTCTAACTGTTCCCTTCTGGAGTTCCACTAAACCCATTTCTAAATCGATTCGTGGCTTGCTCTCTTTTTCCATACACTGTCCTGGGTGATTTCGTCTAGGATTGTGTAATCCAAAACTTGTGCTCTGCAATTACACAGACCTTGGTTTTAATCCCAGCTTTACCATTTACCAGCTTTGTGAACCTTGGACTCATTGAGGAATCTTTCTGACACTGTTTCTACATTTGCAAAACATAATAACTACCATATAGTGTTGTAGATATTTGTATTCAATGCTTAGTCTTGTGATCATCATGAAATAGATACTTGGCAAATATTAACCATTTTCTCCTTCTGTGACGCAAGCTTGCTTGCTGAAAGCAAAGATAACTTGAAACACTTGTTACAGAAGATCAAAGACTACTGCCTCCAAATGGATTACATCTTAATATCAAGAAAACAAAAATCCTCACTAGTCGGCAACTAGGCAACATTATGATACTGATGTTGTCAACAATTTCATCTTATTTTGATCCATAATTAACACCCTAGGCACTGGTACTCAAGAAATCAAAAGATACATTGTAGCGAGTAAATTTGCTGTCAAGGATCTCTAAAAGTTTAAGAAGCAATGACATCAGTCTAAAGATTAAGTTGCATCAGATTTAAGTCATGATTTTTTTTTTCAGTTACTTGTTTTGTGTGTGAATGTTGGACAGTGACTAAAGTATCAACAAGAAGTATCAATGCCTTTGAATTGTGATGTTGAAGAGTACTGAATATTCCACAGGCTAACAAAAGAACAAACAAATATATCTTGGAAAAAGTGCAACCAGGGTACTCCTCGGAGGCATGGATAGTGAAGTATATTTGGGGCATGATGTTCAGAGGGTCTGATCCTTGGAAAAGGACATCAAGTTTGGAAAGGTGGAGGGTCAGAGAAAGAGAAGGACTGTCAAGGAGGTGCACTGGCACTGTGACTATGAAAATGGGCTCAAGTATATCAGAGATAGTGAGATTAACAGGATAGGTTAAGGTTCTGATCCGGTCTTCACAGGATCACTATGAATCATAGTCAACTCGACACCAAACAACAGTCTTCTAAAGTAGACATGCAGATCTTTCTCCTAATATCCAACTGTTTGGTTGAAATCAAGAAGTCTGGGTACTATTCTGTTTGAAATATATTACCATATCACTTAAATGTTTATGAAGCTTAGTAGAATTATTTCAGTGGCTTCCCCAATGTCATCTCCAAGCATCAACTTGTTTATTTGTTTTTGTTGGTAGGTGCCATCGAGTCAGCTTTGATTTGCATTAACCCTGTGTATATCAGAATAAACCCTGCCGGATCCAGAACCATCCTCACAAT